TGCAAGCGTGCAGAAACTGGGAGTGCGCTGGGCCGCCGTACAACGAACCGCTAAAAGAAGACTTCGACGATGTCGGCGAAGACGAAACTAGATGGAGGCCTCGTGTGAGAGAAGCCAAGGTTGGCGCGCCGCCAGCCTGCGCATCAGGGTGCCCCTGCGGCTCTGGCCTGCGAGGCCGATCGCCATCAGTGTCTCTAGGGGCACATCCCAGCGCGTGGAGGCCAGCATACAAATCTGACAAGTCCATGGCTGCCGATGACGACGATGGCAATAGATGCGACCGGACGCTTCAGCAATCCTCCAGGGGGCAGGCGTTTCAGCATCACCCAGGGTGGGTGGGGCGGCGCGGGGGCGGCGTCGACTACATGAGGGACCGTGCCAGAACCCCAAGAAGGCCCCGACAACGCTCCGGGAGAGCCTTAAGAGGCACCACGAAGACCCCAAAGCGCCCAAAGACACGCAACCTATCCCCCGGAGCGCCTGGGATAGCCCCAAGATTCCTTCAAGTGGCTCGCAGAAGAAAGACTATCACTAAGAAGAGGAAGTGTGGCAGGGACCAGCTGCAAATATGTCAGAAAGCTTTGGGAGTTCAACGGCGTGCCGACGACCATGCAGGCTTCCTTCGCAAGGCGGGCCGAATTCGTTTTCATAGAGGCGTTGCCACATTTTTCACGCAGGCGCGCTGAACGGTTTTGTACAAAAGCGCTGTTTGGGCTGAAAGGAAACATAAAGATTGATCAAACGCGCTCTCGGCGAACAGCCCGATACCAAAAAGTATTGCATTTCGCTATAGAACACAACCAATGCAGAACCTGGTGCGCAACCGATTTTACATACATCGATACGTGGTTAACGCCACTTTCCTTACTATAAGGGAATGGTACAGAAAATGGTCGCGTCGCCAGCGGAACTGCAATTTTATGCAATCCGTCGCGATCCAATTTGTAGCGCAAGTGCTATACAAATGAACAACACGTTGACTTCTGCTTCGTCAGAATGTAACAGAAACGGATAAAACGCAGAAAGAAACACACCACATGTCAAAACCGTTCCGCGCAGTTGGCTGCCACGGTGCGGAGATATGATCAAAATCTTTTTTTTTTTTGCACGCTGATTCTCATGTTTCACATGTTTTGCCATGCGCGCAAATTCACCTACTGATTGGTCGCGGATGACAGCGCTTGCGTGCACGAACAAAATCGTTGAGACGTCATATCGTTTGGGTGCGATAGCGCGCTCCCGTAAGATATGCACACACCAAGAGCTCATAATCATACTGTCTGGATCCTTAGAAAAAAAAAAAAACGTTTTCCAGAAAAAGATAAAGAGGCATGAAACATCGCAAAAGCTGCGGTTTGAAAAGGCAGGCGCGACATATACAAATACACGCAATCCTATAAGATTCCTGATCATTTCCGTCGTCAATCTGAAAAGGCTGCCCAAAACGATGTTTTTAAAAAATTGACAGCATTTCCCCCTTCAAATATGCCAATTATATGGTATCTCTGCCACCTCATTTTCGCAGTCCTGGGCGAAATCAAAAAAAAACAGCCTTGGAACAATTGAAAGCTCCACCGCTTTCAAAAATAATTCTGTTCAGCGCAACGATTCCATCGTCCGTCGTGCCCCCCCCCCCCTGTTTTCAGTGCAGGGCGCTGGAAAAACGAAATATTTTTCTCCTGGGATAATGATTTTCTTGCAGCGTTTGAAAATCGACGAATTACTATGTTGTATTATTATTTCTTTTTAGATTGTTTCTAAAACATGTTGTTTTCATTGATTAGTTGTATGTGTTATTGTTTTATGTTTATTTGTTTTGTTCTTGTCTATTTTTTCTTTTTTCTTTTTTCTTTTTTCCCAGGTTTTTCGCAAAGGCTGTGTTCCTGGTACCATGGAGCGGCCCAATCCATAGGTGGCCGCGGCGACGAGAACAATTTTCTCTCCCCTTGGCCCCTACGGGCAAACAAGGGTGACGATCGGGCTGCTACCCGCCTGTTTTCCTCCTGGCCCCTACGGGCAAACAGGAGTGGCACAGGTGCCTCCTCCTCCGCCATCCGCCATCCCCTTCCTCCTCCTCCTCCTCCTCCTCCTCCTCCTCCTCCTCCTCCTCCTCCTCCTCCTCCTCCTCCTCCTCCTCCTCCTCCTCCTCCTCCTCCTCCTCCTCCTCCTCCTCCTCCTCCTCCCCCCCTCCCCCGTCCTCCTCCTCCTCCGCCTCCTCCTCCTCCACCCCCTCCTCTCTCCAGCCTCCTCGTTGGGAGGTTAGCGCCGCAGCCTGTGCTACCATGACAGGGGACAGATGCGACTGCTTCCAGTCACCTCAATTCCCTCCTCGTCCTCCTCCTCCTCCTGAAGCCCACTACTCCTATCTCGTCATACCTCCTCCTCCTCGTCCTCCTCCTCCTCCTCCTCGTCCTCCACCCCCTCCTCTTCCTCCTCTGCTCCTCCTCCTCCTCCTCCTCCTCCTCCTCTGAACCCTTTTCTTCACACTACGATTACGATGCGTAGCAATGTGTGTATTAGTTTTGTGCGTATTAGAAGTATTGGTTGTGTCTGTCATTGGTATTAGAAATAATAGTGTTATGAGTCGCGTGTGCAATATGAGTGATATTAGCAGTGTCAGTGTCATCATTAGAACTTGTATGAATAATAGTGAGATTGATATTATTAGTAGTGTTGTTAGTTGTAATAGTGTGCATCTTATTATCCGTATTAGTAGTACTACGAACACGGCTATCTAACAATGAGATTACTACTACGCTTTTAATAATGAGATCAGTCGTACGATTCACACTTCGAAAGTTACGTCTCTGATTATTATGGGTATTACAATGCTGTGCTATGCAAATTCGCATTATTGTGTATGAGTGTGCGTGGCCGTAGTCTCAGTCGTAGTATTATTCTTGTTGTTATGAGTACTCGTAGTCAGTTTCTTCTAGATCTTCTTCGCAAGATTATGATTAGTCGTGTTCTTTTTAATATCAGTAGTACCATAGTTCTGGGCAGTGGCATGATTGGCACTCGTATTCTTATAATGAGCAGTCGTATTGGTATTGTTCATAGTACTACCAGTGGTGTGCTTAGTACGCGTGCGCTTAGTCTTATTAATAGTAACAGTGTTAGCATTAGTAATAATCAACAGTTGTGGTAGTCGTATTAGTATTGCCTGATCCGTGACATTAGTACTCTTCCTGTTGCTGATAATAACGGTTTTCGCCTGAGTCGTCGAACTGCTTGCCTTCCCCATCGTGTTCGCAGTGGTTGTCGCAGTCGCGTTCTTAAGATTACGTTATAATTAGTTTAACTGTTTTACAATGTCGTGTTAATATGACTCGTCTGTTGATTATTCGTATTGCCAGGCCCTTTTCTTCTTCTTTTCACTAATGATAGTCGTAGTAGTGTTACACTTCCAATGCTTGTTATTATGATTACGATTCGCATTCGTCTCATTACCTTCTTAGGAGTATTACTGATCATCCGTAGGACTAATATTATTCATATCACTCTTCCTTCTCGTCCTCCTCACCCTCCTAGTCCTCTTCATCCTCCTCCTCTTCTCCTCCCCCCACTCCTCCTCCTCCTCCTCCTCCTCCTCCTCCTCCTGCTCCTCCTCCTCCTCCTGCTCCTCCTCCTCCTCCTCCTCCTCCTCCTCCTCCTCCTCCTCCTCCTCCTCCCCGTCCCCCTACCCCTCCCCCTCCCTGATCCCGCCTCTCTCCTCCCTCCTCCATCCCTGCTCCTTCCTCTGTACCATTACACATTTGGAATGGTACTCTCCTCTGTCTCTCCCTTGACTCTGACCAGATGGCGCCCCGCCCTCTCAGCGTATTATTTCCACACACGATATGTCACAAGTTGTGTACTTCTTATGTGGTGTTTCCACTCCGATCGCTATCAGCCCTACAATATAGCGTTCCCGCTGCAGCAGTGGCCTCACTTCCGCGCGCCTGGTCCTTCCGAATGGCGCTCCCGCTGCAGCGCTGGTTTCATTTCCGCGTTGTCAGTTGTTCCGAATATTCGCGCTGCAGAGTTGGCCTCACGTCCACGTTTTCAGAGATTCAAAATTGTATTTGCGCTGCAGCACCAGCCTCATCTCGAGATTGTCGGCCCTCCAGCATGATTTTCTGGCTGCACCTTTCAGGCAGCCATGACATGCTTTTCAATACTATTTTCTGTACCACCAGTGCGGGATGTCATGCATTCCTCTGCGATGCTGTGATATTCAACGCTGAACTACGCAGTGCCATGCCATGCGATGACATGTCGTGAAATGCTATGATATGCACCGCTATGCAATGCCATGCCTTGCGCTGCAATGTTATGATGCCATGTTCTGCATCGCGTACCCTTTTGGGATCGTTCTCCTCTTCAACATCCGACCATACGAATCCGCCGACCCTGTCGGCGTGTGTGAGGGGCTTTTCCGTTCGAGACGTCATCCCCGTTGTTCGTTGGTCGTCGTCTCTGTCGTCCCCCTTCCTTGCGCCTCCCTTTCCGTGGGCCCGTCGCCACTCCCGTCCTCTTTCCCAGCAGGGGCCCCTGCTCAAGCGCGCCAGCCCAAATGAACTTCAGCAACGTCGTATTTGAGTCGAAGGGAAGCCCCTTCCCTTTGATCCCTCCCCCGCCGGGAGGGGGGGGGGGGTAGCGGGGGGGTCCCCGGGGGGGGTCCCGGGGGGGGGCGCCACTCAGATACGACGCCCCCCCCGCAAGTACTGCACGTCCTCCAGGGTCGGCGGCACCGGCCGTAAGGCCTTCGCAATATAGAGAGGGGCTCTACGCAATGGCAAGGGATGGAGAAGGACAGGACGCCAGATATGACGCGAGCGCGCCTAGCTGGCCTCCCTCCTCTCCCCCCTCCTCACTCATCATCACTACGGCCAGACCTAGGGCAAAAGAACATCGTTCAAAAACATTAGACCCTCCGCTGGCCAGACTGAAGAGCATTCGAGGGTGTCCTCGAATAAATGAACAAGAACATCCAACAAACACGAACAACATTAGGCTACCCTCCACGGACGACCTCCATCTAATACCTCGGTCCGACCGTACTTTGCCGTCGTCTGGCCTCACCGGCTCTGACCCCCACGCCTCCGCGGAAGCGGCATCAGCATCCCGGATGAAGTCGAAGAGCCCTGGGCGGCGCTCCCGGCAGGACTCATGCACCTCCCCCTCGTCTTCCTCCTGCTCCTCCTGCTCCTCCTCCTCCTCATCCTCCTTCTCCACGCCATCATCATCAGCATCGTCATCAGCATCATCATCATCATCATCATCATCATCATCATCATCATCATCATCATCAGCATCACCACCACCATCATCATCATCATCAGCATCATCATCATCATCATCATCATCATCATCATCATCATCATCATCATCATCATCATCATCATCATCATCATCATCATCATCATCATCATCATCATCATCATCATCATCATCATCCGAATCATCAGCATCATCATCAGCAGCATCAGAATCAGCATCATCATCACCACCACCACCGCCACCATCCTATTCATCATCATCAGCATCATCATCAGCATCATAATCATCGGCATCATCACCACAAACACCACCATCATCATCATCATCATCATCATCATCATCATCATCATCATCATCATCATCAGCATCATCATCATCATTATCAGCCTCATGATATATCATCATGATCATCAGCATTATCAGCATCAGCATCAGCAACATCATCATCAGCATCGTCATCCGCAGCAGCAGCCATCATCATCATCATATCATCATCACCACCAACAACATCAGCATCATCATCAGCAGTCATACATCATCATCACCACAACCACCATCATCATCATCAGCTGCATCAGCATCAGCATCAGCATCATTATTATTATCAGCATCATCATCATCAGAAGCATCATCAGCACCAGCATCAGCATCAGCATCATCAGCATCATCATAATCATCATCAGCATCAGCAGCATCATCACCATCATCACCTATCCTCATTAGCATCGGCATTATCAGCATCATCATCATCATCATCATCATCATCATCATCATCCCCGCCGCCAACATCGTCATCAGCATCACGATCACCATCATCATCACCACAATCATCATCAGCAGCATCACCATATTAATCGACATCAGCATCTTCATCATCAGCACCATCATCATCCTCTCATCATCGGCGTCATCAACAGCAGCAGCATTAGCACCATCATCATACTCATCATCAACATCATCATCATCCGCAGCATCATCATCAGCATCATCATCATCATCAGCAGCAGCATCATCACACATGTCACCATCACCATCACCATCATCATGCCAAGCGTAACTATCATGGACAGTACTGTCATCATCATCTGTCATCGTCATCCGGCATCGTCATCCGGCATCGTCATCCGGCATCGTCAATCGTCGTAAATCAACATCGTCATCGTCATCGTCGTCCGCATTGCCATCTGCAAATCAACAGCATCTGCATCGGCACCATCAACAGTATGAACCCGCCTTCTTGCCTTCCATTCAACATCCGCCATCATCCTCCGCCTTCTCTCCTCCTACTCCTGCGCAGCATCCGCACCTCTCCTGATACACATGTGGTTCCCCCTTCAAATCATCCTCCCCCTGCGCTTCCGACACCTCCTGCGCCTCCTCCTCCTCCTCCTCATCGTCCACCTGCGTTTTCCCGAGTAGGACCCACATCCTCCTTATGCACATTCTGGCTCCCCTCCTCACCCCTCGTCATTCGCAACTGCGTCCCCCTCCCTCCTCCCTGGTCCTCCTGCTCATCCTCCTCCTCCTCCTCGTCCTCATCCTCCTGTTTCTCCTCCGCCTCCTGCGCCTCCTCGCCCACCCATCCTCACCCTCCTCCTTAGCAACTACCTCCCCTCACCTTGTCCTCCTGCCCATTCTGCTCCCCCTCCTCATTAGCCACCTCTGTGTCCTCCTCCTCATGCGACTCCTAGTCCCCCTGCTCACACCTTCTGCTCTTCGGAACTGCTTCCCCATCTCCTGGTGTTGCTGCTCTTGCTCCTCCTGCTAACCCTCCTCGGCATCCTCATGTGTTTCCTCCTTTTCATCTTTCTCCTCCTCCTCCTCCTCTTCCTCGTCGTCCTCCTCCTCCTCCTCCTCCTCCTCCTCCTCCTCCAGTGGTTCGGTTGCGCAGCCATGCTAGTGTGGGACAGAGGATGCTGTGCCCGGCGATGTGTTCGAGCGTCGCTCCCAGGTGAGGGAGCACTACAGCACGAGTCATGGGCATGACTGCGTGTATTTGCGCTACGGGATGCCGCCCATGCCGCCAGTTCCAGAAGCCGTGGCAGACTCGCTGCCTGTGTACGGCTTGGGGGGGCTGGCGTGGGACGTGGGGAGAGGCGTGTGTATACCGACGGGTATGGCCTGGCCAATTCGCTTCCAGGCCTCACTCGATGCGGATGGGCTGCAGTGAAGCTCGACCCATCAGGTATCGTGGTGAGAAGCATGCATGGCCCGGTCCCTGGGGCCCTCCAGACGGTGCCCCGAGCGGAGCACCACGCTGCTCTGAAGGCCCTCCAGGCACCCTTCCATCGCTGCCAGCGATCATTTGCATGTGGTCAGGGTGGGACAGCTCTGGAGTTCAGTGTGCGAAGGTGCCAGCTCGAGGTATGCTGCTGTGTGGAGACAGATCAGGAACATGTATCGTGACGAGCATGGGAACGAGTTTGTGTGGACCCCCGCCCATCGCTCGCTCGAGGACGTGTTGCTTCTGCCACCTCGTGGCCCATCTTGCTCGGACGATCCGATGTTCGATGTCATCGGAAACGAATGGGCGGATTAGTTTGCGAAGCCAGGAGTCAGGGATCATGCCGCTCTTCAGCTTCTCACAGCTTTACACAAGGTGCAGTTGCGAGAGTTGAGGCTTGAGGGTGGATTTTTCTCGTTGATGGTGCAGGCCGTGGCGAGGAAGGCTGAGTTGATGCAGCCTCGGTCCGAAACCCCTCGGAAGGTCAAGGTCGGGCCAGTCCCCCAGCTCTCCCTCACCTCACACTCGCTCGTGTTTTGCGCGCGCTTGCGTGAGCACAGGTGCACGGTGGGTGGCATCGCGGTCTCCGTTCGACAGATTGCGAGCCGACACCGTTTCTTTCGACTCTCGCCCAAGACGTGGGTCTCGGCAGTGCCGGGCGCGAGGCGGCGGCCTCTGGCAAGAGCCTCTGCGAATACATTCGAGGAAGTATCGAACGGGAACCCTTGTCGAAGTAGTTAGGCCTCCACCAGTTTGACTGAATCACGCGAACGTCTCGAGAGCGCCGTTACTGAGTTCGGGGGCCTTCCTGGCCAGGAGCTCTCGGAGTAAATCGTAAGGAAGTATCGGGCAGGAGCCCTTGTCGTCGTGGCTGGGCCTCCGCCAATTTGACTGAATTGCGAGGAAATCTCGAGCGAGAGCGCCGCTCCTGAATTCGGGGAGCTCTCTGGCCAGGGTGCCTCGGGGTAAATTGTGAGGAAATATCGAGCGGGAGCCGTTGTCGTTGTAGCCGGGCCTCAAAAGCCACACTTTTACACTCAAGCCGACGCTCGCGCGGGAGCCTCGTTTTCAAAGAAAATGTAGCCGGCGTCGAGGCGAGAGCGCGAGGAACCATTTCCGGAGATCAACAGTAATCATTATTCAGAAAGGAATTTTCGACGACGACGACGACGACGACGACGACGACGACGACGATCGACGAAGACCGACAACAACGACGACGACAACGACGACGACGACGACGACGACGACGACGACGACGACGACGGCGGACGACGACGACGGCGGACGACGACGACGACGACGACGACGACGACGACGATGGACGAAGACCGACAACAACGACGACGACGACGACGACGACGGACGGCGGTCGACGACGACGGAATTTTCGACGACGACGATGACGACGACGACGACGAAGACGCCGACGACGACGACGACGACGACGACGACGACGACGACGACGACGACGACGACGACGACGGACGGCGGTCGACGACGACGACGGCGACGAAGACCGACAACAACGACGACGACGACGACGACGACGACGACGACGACGACGGACGGCGGTCGACGACGATGGACGAGAGGCAGTCCAAGAGCCCAGGTCTGCACAGACCGAGCGAGGGCCTCCCCCTGCAGGGACGGGAGACCGCCTGGGCAGCAGCGGAGCGGCGGCGGCGCAGCAGCGACGGCCTTCCATGGTCCAGGAGATGACACGAGCACACCTTTAAAGGGGCCCAAGGACACACAAATAAATACACACAAATAAAATAATCCCCCATATTTTCCCATATTTTCTGGGTTTCTGTCTTCCCCCCACTTCCCATAGTTTCCCATATGTTCTGGGGGATCGACGATCAATTGTGTCTGTGTGTCTCTTTCCCTCCTGACAATGGTCCAGGAGATGACACGAGCACGCCTTGCCCTCATCAGCAGCCAACCTGTGCCGCCCCATCGTTCCTCCTGCTCCCCTGTGCCCTCCTCGTCGTCAGCATCACTGGAGGCCTCCCAAACGGGGTCCGAATAGATAGGCTCGGAGGATCGCGCCGCACCGCCGATGCATCGGCGATGCGTCGGCGATGCGTCGGCGACATCAGCGATGCAATGCGTCGGCGCCGACGGCGTGGAGAAAATCTGATCCCGCATCGAGAAGCATCGCCGATGCATCGGCGATGCAGCCCGATCCTCCGACCCCGTCTATTCTGGCCCTATTTGTCGGCGGTGGACAAACCTCCCTTTAGTAAACCTCCCCTTAGCGAAAACGGCCTGGGACACCGAAACCGTCGGACCCGGACCCGCAAAAATGACGGCCGCGACGCCCCCTCGCGAACCGACAACGGCCAACTCCTTAATCGACGTGTCAGCGGAGAAGGTCTGTCCACCCTCGAATCTGTGAGCCCAGAAGAACCACCACCACCACCAGTCTCGTCCTCTTGGGCAAAACGAGGCAGGCGTTCAGAGTAGCCGCCGAACGGGAGGGTCGCCTTTGAAGCCGCGGCGGACCACCTCGGGAGGGCTACGCGGCTCTCTGCTGGCGCAGCGGAGGGAAGATCGGAAGGATGATCAGGGGGACGAGGAGGACGAGGGAGGGGGAGGAGGACGAGGGAGGGGGAGGGGGAGGGGGAGGAGGACGGGGGAGGGG